TTCTACCCCCAACTTCATCCCTACTAATCCTTACCCCCTTGGTATCTCTGCTCCTTGCTCTGCCTCAGTCCGACTGCCCAACCCCACATCTGGTTTCCATCGAGGCTTACCTTGAAGTGCTTGTTAATAAAGATATTCCAAAAACCGTGGCCAGGGGTGCCCAGTCCTGAACCCCTCCCCTACAGCCCATCACCCTAGCCTCTCTGGCCCTGTGAGAATCTTGTATTTATTGAGGGCCTAGTGTGTGGAAGCCATCCACAGGTAATCCTCCAGGCCACTTCCAATAGTCTGGAGATGCTTGCCCTGTCAAGCCCATTTTGCAGATGGGTAAACTGATACTCAAAGAAACCAATTAATTTTCTAAGCTCAGATAGCAAAAAGTGGGTGAGCCAAGCCTGCCATCATCCCAACTGGCTCCTGTCCAGCCAGTTTCTTTCAGCTCTTTGATCCTGCCAAGTTCTGGATCCCCCCTATCTCACCGCTGAGCTTTTGTCTCACCAATGATTTCAGGTTCAGTCTAGAGTCTCTTCCCCCAGAAAGTCTTCCCATCTGTCCCAGTTTGCTTTGGTGCTTCCATTTGCAGCATCTGTGTCCTGGACTTTGTGGTTGTCTGGTTGCCCGGGTGGGTGTTCATCTCAATCTCAGTAGTTGGAGGTACCCCTAGGGCAGTCTCTGCTGTGCCTGGAGAGCCCCACAAATATTTGTGGAATAAAATATTAAAACCGGGGCTCTCAGACCCTGGGTCCCTTCCACTGCCCAGCAAGGCACCAGTTCCCAAGGTCTTTGGTTTCTTCTAGCCAAGGACAATGGGTTGTGCTTCCTCTCCCTCTTCATGAATCAAGCAAGAAAATTAAGAGCGCGCTGGCCTCTCCAAGGCTGCACTGCAGTGAGCTCTCTCAGAGCAGCACAGGGCTTGCCACATTGTAGGCTCTCATAAGATGTGTGTTAAGTGAAAAATGGAATGAAAACACCATGTGGTCCAGGGACTCAGAGGTGCATTTTTGCCACGGAGTTCTCAGTGAGCTGGGCTACTTCGGTCCCAAGTCCCCTGTGCCCACATGCGGGCAGCAACCACTCCACCCCACCCCCAATTTCAGGTGTAGACACAGGGGAAGACTATGGGGAGTGAAACACATGGGGTGAGGTATGGGGAGGAATGACCCCAAGACAGGTATAACTACACTTAGGCAATATTCTCAGTAACCTCTGTGCTGCCTCCACTCAATGCCAAAAAAAAAAAAAAGCCTCATGCCAGGAAGCTTTCTTTGAGCGCTGCCTCTGACCACCTACCCACCCTGGGCTTTTATGATCTGTTTAATTACTGCCTCACTAGTCAACCTTCCCCCAGCCATCCCCGGGGAATTCAAGCCCAGAGCATTGGGGTGCAGCATTTGATGTCCTCAGCCAGAATCCACCCTGGAACGCTGAGGTCCTGTGTCCTTGGAACTGGCCCCAGAGCCTTCTGCTTTTCTACATTGTACCTTAGAGTTGGACTCAGAGAGAGCAACCGTGTGCCTGCAAGTGAGGCAGTGCCTGTGGGTTTCCCTGCAACCTCGTGAGAACATTCTGGACAAGTGTTTAGCCTCAAGAAAACTGCCACGGACCCCCTCTCCCAAGTCTCTTCAAACACACCTTTCTGAGAACACTAATAAGTGTAGCTGATTATTTCTGTGTGCCTTCAGCCATCGGTTCGTCCATCGGCTGGCCCATCCACCCATCCATCCACCCATCCATCCGTAGCTGGAAAGGAGCCACTCCCACTCAGTTCCTCCTCCAGGGGCAGGGCACCCTTGCAGCCAGCTGGGGACTTCCAGGGTGCTGAAGGCTGGTTCTGGCCCTGGCCTCTGTGCGTTATTTCTCCTGAAGCTAAGGCACCCCTTGGTTTACTGTCTGTCTCTAATCTCCTCCCCGTGCCCTTGACCTGCCTGGCCCTTCCTTGCAATTCCGATTATTCCTCCACTGTGAGCCAGGAACGGTGGGAGTCAGCAGAGCCCTCTGCTTCAAGTCCTGCATCCCACCCCTGGCAGGCGCCTCCCTGCTGCCCCCTTCTCCCTCCCTTTCAAATCTTGAATCTCGGGCTCAGCCCTCCAGGGAGCAGCTCCCTCCTTCCATGGGCTCCCTGGGCTCTGCACACAGCCCCGGAAGGGGGAGTGGTGAAGGAGTCTTTCACCTCCTCTGGGAGGCCTTCCTTCACTACTCCAGCTACTGCTCCGTCACATCTGCCCGATTATTTTCCCTGCAGCACCCATCCTGACCCGACATTATCTCCCACATTTTGCATTTACTTCATTTAGTGTCTGTCTTCCTACTAGAATACGAGTCATGGCTGCTGTCTCTCAGGTAAGAGTCCAGTGCTAGGCACACAGCACCGCTCAGTAAATATCTGTTGAATGAACAACTAAAGAGTGAAGAATGAATGAACGAACGAACGAATATCAGAGGAGCACCGCCCCAGGTCTGGAGAGTAACTGCTCAGCCCCTGTAGTTCAGGGCTGGAGCTCTCCAGGCCAGGGGTATTCGATTGAGTTGGTTAAAGGCCCCGATGGGGGAGGCACAGCAGCTGCTCCTCCCTTTCAAAGAGAAGGACAGATTTGTAACTACCTTCTTTGATCTGAGCTCCCTCCACCCATGTCCCCGAT